TCCAAAGTCCTCAGATGATTTTAGTTTAGCCATCAAATGATTTATAAATGATTTAGAAATCTTAACTTTTAGCTTCTGTCACATTTTATTCATATCTTATCAAATCCAATGATCAATTGAGCTTAGTATTGTACAGTGTGCATGTTTTCCAAAACAATACTTTGATAAGCTTTTGTGTCTAACTTTCTTTTTAATTAGTTCTCTCATGCTTCTGCATAATAACATAATGTTTCCGTTTTAACTTCAGCTGATAATTGCAGACTTTTTTTTTTCTGTTCTGACAACTCATTGTTTTTCTCTCGATCACATGTCATAATCATTACATCATACGTAACAGCACAGGGGTGTTTTCATTGTCATCTCTCTTTTTATTTCACCTCCGACAGGGAGCATCCAGGTCAGAGTCCATCAACAGTTCCTCATCTCGCTCGGCACCAGGAGCAGATGTCTAATTGCTCCCACTGTAGCCCCCCCCCCCCCCCCCCACCCCCACAACCTCTGTATCAACATTTTTATCACTGCCAGAAGACCTTCCTTTCTTATTTCTAACCCCGCCCTATTCGTGCTCCTCCACTACAGCTGGCATTTATATTTTGAGGTTGCTCCTCCCTCAGAAAACAGGGAATGCCCGCTGGGACAGTTGTATCCATAGCAACAAAGGATTATACTGTAATTTGTGGATGAGCTGCAAGCTTGGGTTACGTAAGGCAGCGGGTCCTGGAGACATCACTGATGTTGTGCTTGGGTAAGCTCTTTGGGGCTGTGTCCTCGGCCCTTTACGACTGATAACCTTCCTCCTCTGCCTTAACATGTTTAAACGTTTTCAAATTGAAGAAGAATTTCAACATTGTTTCAATAAAATGTCACCTGTAATACAAATCTGCCTTAAAAAACCAGTGACAATGACAAAGACGGCAGCTTTTTACAGCTGTTATTCCAGCATTTAAAGGCTGATGGTAGTTAGTACAAATGCCTGTTCTGTCAAATTCCTCACAAAAAGCACAAAGTGCATAACTGAACTGTGGAGTAGAAACTGCTCTGCGTCTGTATTGTTTATGTGTGACCGTTTGCTGATGCAGGCATGCATTAAACACTCAAATGTGTGTGTGTGTGTGTGTGTGTGTGTGAGCAAGCGCACGAGGGCATCCAGAGCAGTGATGGCAAAGCAGGGATTAGATTGACTTATTTTGCCTAGAGCAGCATATTTATTATTTAGTGAACACACTCAGGTTTGCCAAATCGCTGATTGTGTTTGTTTAAATGTTTTGCATCCAAGGAGAGGAGCCATCTCCCCCTTCCACTTTAGGATTACATCAAGTGTGTTTCTTCTTATTTGGAGCATGCTTTTTAAGCCACCGAGAGCAGAAAACCTTACACGGTTAAGACTAAAAAAACACTTCTCCTGAGTAATGACGTTCCAAAAATACATCATGTTTCTGGCCAACAGCTGGGAAAGGAGCAGCAGTTGGGGCTGGAAAGTCAACAGGCACACGGAGTGCGCAGGGCCTGCACGGGCCTCCCCTCTGCCACCACAGCAGACACATCACACACAGGCTGTGGACCAGACCACTTGCAAGTCACACACAACTGGCTGTTAGTGGTTTGTGAAGGGAAGCCATCGTCTCACCCAACATGGACCCACATGAGCTAGATGCAGCACACAAACAAAAGCCTGCAGACCTCAGCGTCATAAAGAAGGTTTGCTTTGGCAGAGAGGAGGAAAACACTCACACAGTACGTTCCACAGCACCCGAAAAAGCTGCTCTAATTCCTGCCTCCAACACATTCTGGTGATATGACCCCCTCTCTCTGTGTGTGTTATGGTGTTTTATGTAAATATGAGGCATACATTTTGAACAGAAACGTTTAAAAGCGAAAAGGGAGTAAAAGCAGCCATAAAGAGTTCTTGTTAAAAAAAAGCAGCACAGTCCAGGCTTCTTACAGTCGAGCCAGTTAGTCTAAAACTTTCCATCAAAGCCAAGCTGAGAAGCATGGAGTAATTACCTCTCACACAGCAACAGCTCCCAGGCCTTATTACTGATACTGCTGGTGTGTGTGTACGTGTGTGTGTGTGTGTGTGTGTGTGTGTGTGTGTGTGTGTGTGTGTGTGTGTGTGTGTGTGTGTGAAAGGTGCACGGTCTGTGCTCATTGTCGATGAATATGCTTCCATGTCCTGGTCAGGCAGAGTGTGTGTGTGTGTGTGAATGTGTTTCTATGCCTTTAAAGAAACAGCAGCCTTGAGTGTCTTGCTTTTACAGACATAAACCAGCTCAGGGGGTGATAAACACAGAAATGTTGTTATGACGGGTCGCTCCTGGTCTCTGCTGTCCTGATGACGGCAGAGAAAAGCCCACACATCATTCTGCTCCAGATAGTCCAGGCAAAAATAGGCAGATTTAAAAGACAAATCCAGATTGGACACTTGGAGCAAGCTCTGACCAAGCTCTCAATCCTATCAGCTTTAACTTTGGGCAAAACTATTTCCAGTTGGCTTGCACTGAACACTTTTCCGCAGCAAAATGTCTTCATGTAAATCGTGGTCATGAGTAAATGTAAACTTGCTGCTTGTTTAATCTACTTTATGGAAAGTTTTAATGTCTGATAATGAAAGATGGGACAGCAAGGATGGAAAAGCGCTTCCGCTCCATGATTATGCGTGTGTAAGTTTCCCTTTCTGTGTTTTCATTTTTGGGGTGAAATGTTAAGTGATTTTATGGATATTGGTTGCTCATTTAATTTAAACAATTCCAGCAGAATGTACAAAACGGTACGGTGCAAGAAGAGACACAAAGCCCAAAGTTACAGCAGCTGAAAACAAAACGACTCCCCATTTAAGAGAGTCCACAATTATTACAAAGGTTTGTTTGAAGATTGTAGGGAAAAGATATTGTAGAACACATGGACTGAATACACCAATTTTTAGTGAACAAAAATGGGCAGTTTTCCTCTCAATGGACGGCTGGTGTTTCTCTGAATGTCCCGGGAGCTCAGGAGACCAAATCACATGATTTCTGAGGTCAGACTGTAACTCCTGACCTGACTGTATACAGTCTGTGATTCTGACTGGATTAGGTCTGCAAATCTAAATCCAACGTCTTTTGTTTTTAGTGGTGTTGTCAGTCTCTTTATTATTGAGACACGCTGCTTCAAAAAGCCGCAAAGCCAGAAAGAATTTCTCATGTCTCATGACAGTCTGATCAGTGTTTCAAAGTCTTACTTTGGGGGAAACAGAAACTACTACCATCTTTGATTATGAAAATTGGTTAATTTGGTTACAGAAAGATGTCAGCTCTGGCGTTTGGACCATCCTCCAGAAATTTTCTCTCAAACCGATATGAAAGCAAAAAATACCCAGTGATGCGATTCATGTTCATAAATTAGACCGGCAATGGGAAAAAAAAGTTCACATTATCCAAACAGGAGCTGAAAGGGGTCTTTTGCTACTTTGACATCCTGAAAACAAGCTGCAAGACCAATGAAATAAAGTGGGTGTAAAGCGCAAACTTTCCAGCATGAAATTTCAGCAGCCCCTTCCAGCCTTTGTCATCACCAGGAAGAGAGACTATAAATCTCTTCTCTGCTGCAGATTTAAAATGTCTAAATAATGTACACCATGATATTTCCACATCTCGCCACATCATGAGATGCTCATGTTTTTCCAGGGAAGGTTCGAAAAGGAGGGGCCTGGGAAGGCAGTAAAACTTATTTGGGCACAGAATTCGTAAGTCCTGCCAGCAGCATATTGCAAGAGGCATATAACTCTAACCAAAAGACCTGAGGTAGACAAACTGCGTTAAGTGTTCATAAAATATCTCAGGCCGGGGAACATTTGATGGAGGGATTAAGGCAGAGTGAAGAGAGAGCAGCCCTGCTGCTCCTGATGTTTTCCCGGTGGTTTTACAGGCTATACCTACATGACAAGGGTGTGGACTTGCAGATTTGTGGTTCCTAATTCCGTCTTTGGAAGAAAAATTCTTCAAATCATTTCCAATTCACACAGAGGTGGGAGTTCAGCCTCCGTAGAAAAGGAGCTTGACACAAATTTAGAACATCTAATGCACCACTACAGAGCAAATGTGGAGCTGGAACAGGAGCTCAAGTCTTTATTATGAATTCAAGTACGGTTTCTGCTCAGAATCACTGTTCAAAGACCAATTTCTATCCTCTGCTCACAGAATGATCTCTGAATAGTGGCACAGACAGTCCAGCTGCTGAAAGTCGGAACCATATAAACACTATTAGGTAAATCTGCCAGTAACTATGGAACATGATATCAATTTGACTGTTTCATGTCATTTACATTTTGTTTGTGTGCTGGTTCAAATTCACGTAAATCATTGATAAAATTCAGAAAACAGTTTGTTTGCGTTTGACTGACCCTGCTGAATCATAAATAGTGAAAATGGACTTCATGTACTTTACTCAGTGTAATTCATATTTATATTTTTCTAATCTCATCTTGAATCCCACTATGCTGTGGTTTTGAGGGAACAAGAAATACTAATGAAATCATGTATAGATATATTCATATTTATAGCTTATCATTACTGGTGTGTTTTTTCAAGTATTTGAATCTATGATGGTGTTGTAATTGTTTAATTTCATTTCGTCAACACCGCCATCTCCTGGATTCAAGTGTAAATGACGCTGAAGTTGAGAGACCATTGTTGCGAGACTGTTTCGGCCACTAAACGGACACGAACCACCGTGATCTGATAACCAATCCACTGTTTGAACCTGATTCTAACAGCCAATCACACTGAGGGGTTCCTCCCCTTTACACCCATTCTCTGATCTCATTTAATAAAGGGAACTTGAGTCCCTTGTGCGACGCACCGTCTACGTCATCACCGTGCGTCTGTCTCGGAGTGGCTGGAAGAAACGTGAAGAAATCATGGACATCTGTCTCTCCCGAGTTTAGGCTGTCGCATGTATGATTTTATAGAAATCTGGAGTTTAACTTTAATAAGAAGAGCTGACACTTGTTGTTTGGTTTGGACTCTGTAAGCAGCCGAAAGTGGGGCGGCGTGAAAGTCAAATTAGCTGACTTAGTTTTAATCGAACAGTTTGACGTTACTTATTTTTGCTGTTTATTACTCGCTAATAGCATGGATAACACGCAGGGAAATGCTGTTGAGCTCCACGGAGATGAAGAAATTATTGAAGTAATCGATCTCAACGACACAGAGCCTGGACCAGGTAGGGGGGAAATTATCCTACTCATTGTTTACGTTTGAGCATTCAGATACAGACACGGTTTGTAAACAAAAAATCATATATTTAGTGGAAGTACTAGCAGAGTTGGAAGGGGTTGTTATTTATCTCTGTCTGTTTTAGATGATTTAGCTGATGACTTGGAGGATGTTGACTTTGAGGACCCTGGAAATGCAGAGGATGACAATGATGGCTGGGAGACAGAGGACGAGATGGAAGCGGAGGAAGAACAAGACCACAGCGAGCTCACCTTCTCCAAACACGCCGGTAAATCCCTCCGGCAGGCCTGTTTATGTTGCAGCTGTCCAAGGGGATTTGGCTCTGGCGGGGCGAAAACATCTGTTCCCGCTCCTGTGTGCAGGCTCGGTGTTCTGTGTGAGTCTGGACCCTGCGACAAACAGCCTGGCTGTGACGGGGGGGGAGGACGATAAGGCCTATGTTTGGAGGGTGAGCGACGGAGAGGTTCTGTTGGAGTGCACCGGTGAGCGTCAAAGGCAGACAGGGGACTGTGTTTACGTCAACTGTGGTTGGATCTTTTCTATCTAATCTCTGCAGTAATACACCCAAAAAAAAGCCAGCAATCTGAAGAGGTCCCAGATCCTGACCTCATAACTTCCCCACAGCGATTTGTTTTTCTGTTCTGTCCGAAAAAAAGTGAAAGACTTTCACAGATCCTCGGCCTGATGATATGCCAGAGTAAATTCCAATGTCGGGACACTGCAGCACAGTTTGAGGGACATCATCAATGTTTCACTAGCGTGGAATTGTACTGGCCTACCTGCCTTAATTTAACCACAATGCAGTGTTTAATCAGTGACACCTTTTCATTGTATGATCTAAAAAACTTTTCACTGGCCTAGTTTAATGTTAACTAAAACACAGCATCAGATCTTTCTGCTGAACGAACTGCTTGTTTTGCAAGCTTCTAAGCTGACCAAGAACTCTCACTAAATGTCCAGACTCTTGACCTGATAGTTTCTTTTTTCATTCACTGCTTACATTTTGGACCGGTTCTTTGCTGTTTTCGCAGGTTCACGACAATCTGCCAAGTTTTCAGGAATTGTTCTGTAGGAGTACTTGGACAGCACAAATCTCAAAGACATTCTCACTGAACTACTTGCAAACATTTTCCAGCTCCCTGATAAAATCCCCAGAAGTTCACAGAGTGAAACACGTGCCAACGAAACTGCCAATCTACTGAGCGATTCAGGGGGAGTTGCAGCTTTTCCTTTTTTGTGCCTAACCCTCTGCTTTGTTTGTTGCTATTGACGTCATCCTGAGCCATCTATGAGGACCTTCCACATGCTGGACGGTGAATTCTCTGCGCTCCACTCTCACAGATTAGGAAGGGAGAATGTGGAGAATGTGCCACCAAATCCTCTGCAGTGTCTTCAGAAAGTCCTCAGCTTTCTTTGTTGTATCATGCTCGCAATTCATAAAAAGGGAAGCAGGGTTCAGGGACTCAGGCACTGCGCTGACATTTTAAAAGTCAAAGTAAAGTTTGCTGTCACAGAGGTGCCACTTTAAGATTTGGAGTTTTTTTAACATCGTCTCAGTATGACACTGAAATCTCCCCTTAAAGTCCCTTCTCTCCTGTGTCCACAGGCCACAAAGACTCCGTGACGTGTGCCACCTTTAGCCACGACTCCGCTCTGGTGGCTTCTGGTGACATGAGTGGGGTGATTAAAGTCTGGAGAGTGGAAACCAAAGAGGAGATCTGGTCCTTCGAAGTAGGAGATCTGGAGGTAGTGGTTTCAGAGCAGAGAGTGCACGTCTCCCCTAAAAACACCCCAGCAAGCGCTTAGTTAGTCTGTGCTTAGCCTGTGCATCTGTAAGCACTTGTGTGAAGTCTTTCATCTGGGCTGAAGGAATTTATGAGGCAAAAGGAGATGATGACGGCTCAGGCTGAGAATTTGTGGTCTGGTGGAGGAAGCAAATGATCACAGGTGCTCCAGAGGAGCAGACAGCCCAGAATATTTAGCCCAAGCGCACGTAAAGCCGCTGCAGATGTGGTCTGTGGATTTCCCTCTCCCCTCAGTGGTTGGAGTGGCACCCTTGCGCTCCGGTGCTGCTGGCAGGAACCAACGACGGCAGCGTGTGGATGTGGAAGATCCCCTCAGGAGACTGCAGAACCTTCCAGAGCCCCGCCTGTCAGGCCACCAACGGCAAAGTCCTCCCTGACGGTGAGAGACCAGGAGCCCACAGCAGAAACGCCACTCGGAGGAACGCAGACCGCCATGGCAACAGGGCCTGGATTCATCCGGTTTATTGAGGATGAAAATACAGTTTGTGTTCATTAGTCTGGGCTCTAAAGGGGGGGGGGGGGGAGACCTCATTAACTCATTGGAATAACATTCTGCCTCAAGATTCATAGAATTTCAAGGCAACACAATTTTTTTCCCCTTGGAAAAATGCTCAATAAAGTGTATTCCTAAGGGACAGAATGGTGGTTTTAGGACTTCTGTAGAAAAACAGCTTTTCCTCAGCGGTTTATTTGCGTGCTTATTTTCAGCCCAGTTGTCTTTGACTTAAAGTTCTCGTTCTTTGATGTTTGATATCGCCACAAACACGTTTCCTGACGTACGCCTACATCTCCTTCAGGCAAGCGGGCAGTCGTTGGTTATGAGGACGGAACGGTGCGGGTGTGGGACCTGAAGCATGGGAACGCCATCCACGTCGTTAAGGGTGAGCCCGGCATACGATGACCGTTACGGACAGTAGAGCCAATGATTACAGAGCCGTCTCTTCATGGCTTCTGCTTTAATTGAATCTGCTGCGGGCCTGCGTTTGAAACAGTTTTTTTTGTTGGTGACGCTGGGGTGTGCCGTGTCCATTAACAGGCCAGGATGGACACCAGGGGGCACTGACCTGCCTGGCGTGTAACAAAGACGGCTCTCTGGTGCTGACGGGGTCAGTGGACGGCTGCGCCAAGCTCATCAACACCGTCACCGGCAAGGTTGGTGCCACGACAAACGGGGTACAGGAAGGAGGAAGTGTTGTTCAGCAGGCCCTGATGTCCGCGTGTCTGCGTTTGTAAAAAGGTGGTCGGAACGTTTTCCGTGGAGGGAGGCAAAGCAAAAGGGCAGAGGGATGAGGAGGAATCCAACTCCGTTGAGTCCGTGGGATTCTGTAACATGTGAGTTTAGATTAATTGTGAAAGTTAACAATTCACCAAGCTGAAATGGCTGAAGGGGGACCTTGTGAGGGAATTCTGTGACTGAAATCCTTCATTTCTGCTGCCGCCCCCAGCCTGCCGCTCATAGCTGTGGCCTACTTGGACGGGACGCTGGCCATATATGACCTCTCCACACAGGTGCTGAGACACAGGTGCCAGCATGAGGTAAAATAAATAGTTTTTTTTTTTTTTAAAAGCCAAAGAAACTAGAACAGTTTGGCTGTTCTGGTGTTCTTGGCCTTCTTTTTCAAAGCATGGGGAAGATCCAAAATGTCCTGGCTCGGTTTTTCTTCCAGGCCGGCATTGTTCACCTGCAGTGGGAGCCCTCTTCTTCGGTGGTGTTCACCTGCAGCTTAGACGGCGCTCTGCGTTTGTGGGACGCTCGCTCCGGGAACATGGTGTCCGAGTACCAAGGCCACTCGGCGGAGATCCTGGACTTTGCCGTCAACAGGTGGGACTGTGGAAAGATTGCGTGTGCAAAAGGCGTCAAAGGTTTCCTTGGAAACGTTCGGCTTCGTGTGATCGGCAACGCAAAAACGGAGATGCAGATTAGCATGAAATCCTCACAGTCTGTCGGTCCTATTGCATAACCATGAGGTCGGATTATCCAACAGCAGATTTATGGTGAACCTACTTGACTCCTGAAGCAGTGTTTAACTTAGCATTCATCTTGTCGCAATGGTTGTGCTGATGTTGCCTCTGCTCTCCTGCCCCAGGGAAGCAACCCTCGCAGTGACGGCCTCCGGAGACAATCGGGCAAAGGTCTTCTGCCTCCAACAACCTGACCGGTAGAAACAAAAACAGCGCCAGGACCAACTGAAGAGGAAAGGTTCAAAGGGCGGATGTTTGACGTCCAGACTGTTCTGTGCTGACTTACACCGAGGAGCAATTCTGATCCTTTCTCCGCAGGATTTCTTCAAATATAGTTTAATCAGATTTTTCTGAGATCATATCAATTGTGGCTTACTGGCAGACACACCTGGAAAGAATGTAAACCCTTTTAAACAAAATGTTCATGAGTGGTTCGCTCTTACTTAGAAAGAGACTAAACAAAGACTGATGCTCTTTGATGTTCAGTCCTCCAAAAGGTTTTAGGGATGTAACAAAGCCTAAAAGGGCAGTTTGTTTTTTTCTATTTGGAATTTGTAATTTGCCAAACATCAGGACTTCCCTTCAGAGTGCATGCTGCCTTCTCTTAGAAACCAACTTTTCCATGAGAACTGAATTGTAAATAGAACATAATGAGTGGGTGATACGCTCTCCTCTGAGGAACCATTAAAAGTCATTTTCACCAAAGGACCAACGTCTTTTTTCAAAAACATTTTTGACATTTATGCAAATATTTTTCTCTGTTTATCTTTTCCGCGCTGAAGCTGCATGAAAAGCAGCAAAAGGTCAAAGTTGACACGCATGGGTCAGGGTGACACGTCTGCAGAATGGTCCAGTTTGACGTCAAGCGGTCAGCACAGAAATCTGTTTCATCTCTTTTATCAGATGTGCGTAATGGGAGGAGGTGAATCATTATAAATCCTCCAAAAGTTCAACCTACATTTGATACGATCAAGGGGAGAAAAATGTTAACAACTGAGTCACGACAGGCAACCGGATTTTCATTAAACCCCTCTAATACTTTTGGCTTTGCGATTCAGCCTCCTCTCACAAACATGCAAACAGATGTAAAACTAAATATCACATAAAGGCTGAAGAATTGTGATATTAAATGGTTTTCTCTGCCTTTTGTCTGGCATCAGGAAGTGTTAGGACGATGTGTATTTATTGGTATTCAAGTCTAAATATGTTTTTCTTTATGTCTAACAATATTGCTATTAATATGTAGACCAAATTGAAGTCATGCTTTGTGCCAAACTTCAAACAACTTTATTGCACTATCCATCACTTACAACCTCCTGATTATCATTTTTGAAGTTCTAATATTCTTGCACATCCCATGTGTCCCATCATGTGAAAGATGAGCATGTTAGAAAGTGATAAGGAAATTGTTGGTAAATTATGTTTGGGACTTGCATGTTTGATCATTTCACATGATACGACAGGCCTGGAAAAGTGAGCACAGCTTCGTTGTTGGTCATAACCAACCCCAAAAATCAGGACTACAACCACCCGCCTCATGCAGAATCATTATCACGCCCCTCCATCATAGTCACAATCACAACTCTGAAACTTTCCCAAACTGATGGGGATTTTGTTTTTCCTTCTATCCTGTCATAAATAAAATCCACAGGGGAATCGTTGCTTACAGAAACAAGATAAACTAGTCCCAGTGGAACACTTCAGGCTGTGTGAAAATCTGTCTGTTGACTCAGAGAGTGAACCATTAGACTTATTTTACAGCCCTTGCACACATTTCCTACAGCCAGGAAATATATGAACTAATCACCTGTTTGATGCTTGTCGAATAAGTTTAAATAAGGAAGACATATGCAACCGTGTGTGTTTGTGTTATGAAGACTATAAAACAGAGTTAGGCCAAGTAACGTACTTTACTGCTTGGCGTCAGGTGGACACAATGAGTCACTGCTGTGTGTGCAGTCACTTGTAATAAAAGACTTGAGATTCAGAGGCCGGCACACCACCAGGATGGGTTACTCACTCGCAGATGAAGACCAGACAGGGCTCGACAAACACAGCACAACTGAATAATTCCCTCCGATTGCCACAGTAGATACAAAGAAAACTTTCCCTGGCCTCTGGTGTTCTTTTTCTGGCTGTCCAGCGGAAACAGGAAAAACAGCTGTCGCTGGGTATCCTGCACCCAAGTGCCGCTTCCTCGTGCCTCAGTTTACAAATTCATTGTGTGTACCTGAACGCGTTCACACATAGTTCATCCTGACAGGCAGTAAAGCGCTGGCACGCACAAACATGTTTGCAGACTTTTTTAAAAAAGTATCCATTAAGTGGATATTGTTGGTGTAAAAATAGAGCAACGCGAGGTCAACTTTACAAATGCGTTCCACAATAGAAAAGTTACGTCTCATGAGCAGTGTTCATTCTCTACACCTGTCAGTCCAGAGAAAAGGAAGATATAACAATATGGGAACTATTGGGTCTATAAAGTCATTTTTAGACTAGAATAATTCAAATGAAAAAGTCTGAATGAATGAATGAAAAGTGAAGATGAATAGAAATGTATTTAACAGTATGAGGCTAATTATATTTTATTAGGTCTCAGACATTTATAGTTGAAAGTTGGACCTATCATTCAGCTTTTCTTTAAGGCTTGTGACTTTTCTGGACAATAGTTTGTCTCTTCGGTTGTTCACTGACCTTAGAAAAGTGGATGAATTCGTGGATAGAAAGTTCCTGATGTTACACTGATTGTGTTAAGTTAAATGTTGAAACGCTTTCTCTTAATTATTCAATTCAACACTTGTTCACAAAAGTGAATCTGATTTTGTTTCGGTCTTCTGAAGAAAAATGCATGAAGGGTCAAAGAAAAAAGCCAAAGCATTGATCTTCTTTGGCAGCCAGGCTTCATCCATCTTATCACATTACATTTTTCCGTTGTATATAAAAGTAAGTGGGACTATGTTGATGTGCATGGCCTGGTTTTCCTGGAACGACAAGATGCTCCATCTCCTCCTTTGGAAGATGTTGTGCTTTCATGTCCAGTTTGTCCTCCCTGTGTAGTGTCTTTTCAGAAGCTCCCAGGCTCAGGAACGTTTCTGTTTAAAACCATAATCTGACTGATGCTTTTTCATCTGTACCAGAACCAAGTCTGCTCCAAACTATCAGGGACAGAGGCTTCTTTGTTTGGCTAAACTTCTGCTCCCTGCTGGTCGTCCATCCAATACTGTGTGTAAACTTGAAATGTGTGTGACAGCTGTTATGATTTCAATCACACTGTTGCATCTACATGTTTAGTTCACTCCTGTGTGAAACAAAAGAAGCAAATACACCGCATGATTACATTAAATCTGCCCAAATGTTTGAACGTTACCGGTAAAATAAAGCGTTTTGAACAACCAGTTAAAAACTATGGGAGATATAAAATTCTCAAAGGTGAAAAATCTAATTTTCTTGTGTTATCCTCCTGATGGTATAAATGTATCTTCTGTTTTCTGCTCGAGTGTTAAATCAGCAAATATTAACTTATCTCTTAATCAACTATGTTAAGAAGGCCTGGCGAGTTTATTTTTTCATTTCAGAAATGAAAAAAAAAAAAAACTGCTGTCCCTTGTCAGTTTTCCAGCTAAACGCCTTTAGCTGATTTCATCCATCTTATCAAGTTAAAATTGTAAAATTACTGTGAAAAGAAGAACAGTGAATGACTCAGTCTACTAAACAAGTGCAGTCCTTCTGTCTTAAACCACCTCAGCTTTCTGACTTTTCATGTGAGGATTTTACATCAGCTTCAGAAGGTTAACCGATTGACGGAGATTTGATTTGAGACCCTGTCACAACATGGACTGGTTTACAAGACTGAACCAGCTTCTGTAGAATTGGAATGTCTAGACCCAAATGACCTGGTGGACGAGATTCTCCACTACATAGACTGTTAACAGATAAGCTTGTCCATCCACCCCAATGTACACTGCTGCAGTTTGATAAACCTTCTGATCCCCATGCACATCAGAAATACCAAGGCCAAGGCCTAGGCAGTTTTGGCTTTCCTGATTGGACATTCAGGTTGAATGTGTCCCTCCTGGCCACAAAAATAACAATCAGGAATAACTGATGGTCTAGATTTACATCCAAATACATTTTTCTCTTTTGGTCCACCCACACCTAACCCCACACACTTACCTTGGCTGGCCCCGGGTCATAACCATTGGTCTTCTGTCACCGTCTTGTGGCAAGGAAATTCTCCACCAGATCAGCTGTCTCCACTTCCAGCTCGGGAGATAGAATACAGTGGAACCGCTCCCATACAATGACTCCTCCAAGTTGTTCCATTGTCCATTTTTCTGGCTGCATTCGTTTTTGAGACAATAATAAAAATCTGTGAGCTGTTCATCAGGCTCATCCTGCCCTCTGAACCTCTGTCTGTAGACATCTTCACCGATTTCATATTTTGTTAAGATAGCATCTCTGACCATTTCAGGTGTGGCCACATGCTTTCCCGGTCAAATTTGGAACCAGCCTCACTGCCCAGTCCTTCTCTAGCCAATGGCAGGCTGCCGCCAAGCACTCAGACGTGGTCAAATATTGTTCAATATCATCCCCGTCCTCCGACTTAGGGATTGCAAACCAGGCCATCTGGCCAGAAACTCCTCAGGCCACTCGAGGAGTGCAAGCCGACCAATTAGACACACCAGGCCCTCATCAGCGTCTGCTGATTGGTTTGACAGCCAAAAAACCCGTGCCCTTTGGATCTTTTACCTTTGTTATTTATTTTTTACCATGACAATACACTGTACTCATGGCCTCATACCAGTTACTCCATTCACACTAATCTCCCATTTCCCAATGCATTCATCTTTAGATTTGACGTCAGGAATCATCCGTCCAAATACACTACAACTACAACATCTTTCATTGAAGAACATGAATCTGATCATGTCACACAAGGCAAAAAATTCAGAACAACATAACGGTCATGAAAAATACAAGAAAATAAATGAAGATTAGAAATACTATTTTTATTGTTATATTGAGCAGACCTTAACTTGCAGGCAGCTTTTTGTTGTAATTTTTAACTACAAGTTCTTTAGCAACTATGTAATGCAAAGGTGGAAAACTCGAATATGATTAAAATGATGTGAATTTTCTCATTTTACGTTTTGTTAAAATATGAATATGTATTGTATATGTATAGTCAGAATTATGTAATTTAAGTTCAAAATGAGAATGACAAAAAAACAATAAATTGACTGCGATTGGAAGAACCTTGTCTTCAGTTAAATGTCAATGTGTTTTATTCCATTTCAAAACATGTCCCTATTTAAAAATCTATTTCAACCTTCATGCAGTCTCATTCAATAATCAACCAAATGATCTGGCATGAGACTTGAACATCTTTTTGCAATATCTTATTCTGAATTACAAGACATTTCTCTTTTAGGAAAGCAAAAAAAAAGTTGAATGGTTAAACGTTTGACTCCTTGAAGGAAACTCCTTTAAGAAACTGACATGTTGCACATTATCTGTTTTTCCTTGCCAACGTGCAACAAGGAGAATCATTTGCATTGGAAAGTTCAGACAGCTACATGCCACTATTGTTTGTATGAGGGATTTTTTTTGTCTTGTTCCGTTAATGGATTCTGATCCAGATCCATGGTGAGTAATATGTGTGCTATTAACAAATGTTAAGGAATACAATTATGTGAATGACATGGTCAAAGGGCCACAAATACTGCCCTCATTCATAGAAATCCCTCAGGAAAAGACTCTTACAGGAGGACTGCTGCCTCCTCCTCCCTTATAGCTCACTTCCCCTTTAAAGTATCAGAGAGGCACAGCCTTTGGAGCTTGCTTTGTCTCCATCTGAGTTTGTAGCGTGGATTTTAAAGGCAGCTATGGTCAATTTCACAGCGGCAGATTGTAACGGATGAAGAGCAGCCTCTGTATTTAAAGTTAAACCTGGGTACTCATCTGACACTGGAATGGTCTACAGGGAAATAGGTTTGGCAGTGATAAAAAAAAAAACTGTATTTCATTAAAGTGATTCCTCACAAATGATACACGAGAAGAACTTTCCACACAAAAAGGTAAAGACCTCTCTTATTTAAAGGATATTTCAGATGATGTTGTTTGCATTGTGTCATTGCTTTTTTGAAGGGGCATTATGTAACTGCTTCCTCAACTTTAGGAATTTGATTATATAGACATTTTCTTCAAATGAGATGTAAGTAAATCCATCCTCATTAAAAAGACAATGGGCTTTTACAGTCCGTAACCAGTGGAGTTTGTTTGTGAGCTAGACACGGCTTTGACACAATAAACTTGGAAATGACATCACCCCTTTTCATACAAGCAAACGCAATGCTCAGGTGAGATGATACTTATTTTCAATTAGATTTTCACATACAATGCATATGTTTTAATGATATATTTCTCATCCTATTGCAAACTCTTTGAATGATAAAACATGGGGATAAAGCTGTGTATGTATCCTCTGACAAACGTCTCACTGTTTTATTGTTATATATGAGTTTCCAAGAAATAATGGGAGTGTAACTTCATCATGCCTGCTGATGAATTATTTAATGAGAGTAGTCTCCTGCCCATGAATACACATTTCTATTTGCTGTTGTCAAGCTGAGTGGGAACATTTGTTTCAGTCGTGGTGGAACAACAGAGAGGAACAATGTCAGTTACAGTTGTGGGTTTTCTAGCAGTTTTTATGTGACTTTACAAGAGGCAGTGAGTGTGTTAGTTCAGCGGAGTCATCAGCTCAACAAAGCCCCCTCTGACTAAATGTGGGCAGTATGATTAGTACACAACGTTCGGCCAGCTCTGGTTGAGTTGACTCCTCAGCTGCTTGGCGGTTTTTAGTGGCTCTATTTTAAGGACATCAGCAGCTAGTGTAGTTTCCTGTTAAATTTCCTTTCTGTAACATTTTCTCATTTCTCTGTGACTCTCATTTGGCATCTCTGTTGCTCGTCTTCTCCTTCAACCCTCCGTGAGTTTCTTTGAGAAAACAAATGGCATTTTCATAAACGACACATCGATTTGATAAATGGTACTCTTAAAACCAGCTTTAATGGTGATGTTCTTATTGCCTGTGATGCTGTTTGTCCTTTCTTTTTAGGGCATCTGTTCCTGGCTGCAAATGAAACGAAGCATCGTCTTTCCGGTATGATGGACCACAACAGCTCCTATGCTCTGCTGTCTAAGGAGCAGCTCATTTACACCATCACCATACCGCTGTCCACCTCAATCATCCTGGCCAACCTCGCTATCATCTGGGGCATATCCTGCAACCGTGAGCTCCACAACACGCCAAACTACTTCTTCCTCAGCCTGTTGGTGGCTGACATGTGTACAGGTGTGGCGCTGCCGTTCATCCCACTGATGGGCCTCAACAGGGAGTTGAGTTTGAACTCCTGTCTGGTGGCTCATGTGTTCCCGAATTTCCTCTTCCTGGCGTTTCTGTTCAACCTGGTGATGGTCCACTACGAGCGCTACATTTGCATCGCCGACCCTCTGCGTTACAACAACCTGTGGATGCATCGCAATTTCCCACTGGCCCTGTTTGTGGTGTGGACGCCACCTCTTTTGTACGCGTCTCTTCCGGCTTTCGGCTGGAACAACTGGACCGGGCCAGACTGGAACAGCTGTTGTGAGAACGCCGAGCTCCTACTGCCCCCCTCACAGTGCTCCGTCAACGGGAGCGCGTGCTGCTCCTACAGGCGCGTCTTCCCCAACGCCTTCATCTACTTGGAGGTGTACGGAATCGTCCTGCCCGCGATCCTCACCATCGCTGGCATGACCGGCCACGTTTTGTTCATCACCCGTGGTCAGCTGAAGGACATCTGCCGCCTCCACCGCTCGCTGGGGCGCGGAGGCCAGGCCTCGGACCAGGAGCAGAGGCTGAACCTGCGCTACACCAGGTGCGTGGTGGCCGTGTCGCTGACCTTCCTGGCCTGCTGGGTCCCCTACCTCATTTACATGCACATTTCCACGGCGTTCTTAATCAGCGACACCAAGTGGAACTCCACCACCGCCATCGTGATGTCCTGCACCGGCATCGGAAGCATGGCCGTGGTGCCACTGGTGCTGGGCCTGGCCAACAGGCAGTACACAGAACCCGCGTACAAACTCTTCCAGAAACTCCGGGACAGGTGGAGGAGGGCTCGAGAGTCAGAGGACACCGCATTGTGAGTGAACAGTCCAGAATGTACCCGCGACCAAGAATCCCTGCAGAATATTTATGACTTAGAGGGGGACGTTTTTTTTTGTGTATTACACAATTGTTGTTCCGTGCCAGATTTAAAGAGACAGTTATAAATAAAACATTTTCACACTTCAAACACTGTTTCTGACATTACAAATAAAAGTTGGTCCTGCAAGATCAAGCCAATCAATGACTCGGGCTGTGGGAGGAGCGCCTCATCACAGGATAGAGAAGACGGTCGGTGGGAAAGTGGTAAAGGTGACAGTACAGCAGTATGAAGGCCGAGAACAGGGAGACATTCTAATCTGGTAAATATCTTGTTTCGGCAAATTAAGAAATGTGCTGCTGTGATCTACCACATCCTGAAATGTGTTCCACATGTCAAGACTGACAATTGACAATAGAAAACAAGAAACTGCAAGCAGCTCGTTCAACAGCAAAATCAATACCGGGTACTGGATCTGCTCTCGTTTCCTGTTGTTGTTGTTTTGCTTTTTACAAATGAGAAACTCTGTACACAAATTAGATTATAGGAGATCAAAATTTCCCAGACAAATGGGGTTTAATTGCAGCCATAATTATTCCTCCAGTGGTCTGAAGGGTAATTACAAATGGCGTCATTGTGTCCACATTGTACATCCCAAAAATGCATCTCGAAGGCACACATTGCATCCTCATTTCTCATTGTGCGGCCTGCTCAGAACATTAAGTGCGACTGGCTGTAGATTTTCACTTGTCAAGCCCCCTTGCATGCAATGTTTACTCCTACTTCCCTCGATAGTGTTTATCTATATTCTGGTATGCAAGCTGAAGAGGGGAGAGGGCTGGAGGCTGAGCCGGTAATACATCAAAAAGACAAGAAGAGATTAGCCTCCGCAACAAGATCAAAAACATGCACGGGAGAGAGGCAAGGTGAAAAATGGGCTGACATAAAAAAACATGGATATAAAAGATATGAGAGTAAAGATTTCTGAATATTATGATAACATTTTTTAAATAGGAAATAAGTACTCCTTGTTGTTCCATTTAGGGCAAACTGATTTTACGTTTGTGGCCTGATCATATGCAGAACATCTACAAGAAGAACTAATTGAAAAGAAGTGGGTTTAAATGTGTACTTCTTATGAATGGGTGGAAAAGAGGAAGCCAGGCAGAGAAAAGCTCAGGAGGAAAATCATGTTTAATTGCATTAAAGAGCAGACAAGGCTTGAACTATTGGGGCATTAGGAGAACAGGGGTCAGAGGATGTCTGCCTTGTCTGGTTTTCCCTTCCACTGATACATTTTCCACATCATTATATCATGCATATGTGTATTTGTAATAAAGACAGAAGACAACCAAGGGAGGAGGAGGACAAGGAGGAGGAGGAAGGAACAGGATGAACTTGTGCATAATCATTTAGGAAATGGCTCCTTGTTTCAAAAACATTAACATGGCTGGTTTTCAGCCATAAAGAAATAACTGCATTGAAGTCGGGGACAGTGCAGTGAAGCATCTGGAATAAACCTAAAAAAAGACACGAAGCACCAGAAAGCTCTACAAATGTAAACAAAGATAGAGAAGAAAAAAAACGCTTCTCAATATAAACAAAAATGAAGATTTGAGTAAAACATTCAAACTCAACAAACACAAGCTGCTTTTCAGACGTTCACTCTGCCAGAAGGCACACACAGCAAGAGCATAATTTATTACTTCGGCTAGTTCAGTTTAGTTTAAATTAGATCAAATAGATGCTTTCACATTTTATGGGGATGTGTTCAAATGATGCAGTCAATCAGTCAGCGTAATGAGAGCTTTCCGACACGACTCTGCCCGCTTCCACCTCCACCCGGATCAGCAGGCGCTTCTTGGAGATGGGGAAAGTTGGAGGGGTAATGGTGGTGCCTGGGGCTATGCTGGGAGCTGGAACTGTGGTAGGCTCTGCAGGTTGAGGCTTCTCTGGCGGCTGTAGCTCCTCTGGTCGGTGAACGTCTGTATGCAAGCAAGGACTTGGATTGTTTGGTTTGTTTTTTTAGATATCTGAGCAAAAGAGAGGTTTGATTTTAGTGGAGTGCAAAAAATCCATGAACGCTAAAGTGTATAAAATTGACTGTTTTTTGTTTTAATTATTGTAATTAAATTCAAAGTTTTATTGAATGCAAACACTGAACTTTCAGCCTCAAACTGGAAACAAGCAAAACAAAAAAAGGTTGTTCTTTTTTTCCCCGCTTCTTTAGCTTTTGTGTTTTTCAAACCTAAGGCTAAGAATCCCCACAAGAGGGTGCCAGGGTTCCAGCAAATGATGGGTCGAAAAAAAAAGCCCTTTCTGTCTTTAAGGCGGAATAATGGAATAAATAAAGCAGCTTGTGTAGCGATATGCTGCATAAGCCACACAGAAGAACTGGACACATATGCTCAAACTTAAGAACGTAAAACACAGTTCAAGAACGGATCTCACCTGAGTAGCGCATCAGGTCGTTCATTCTTCACAGAGACAGAATAAAAACAGTGAGTGCATGAATTTAAAACATCTGCCTCATACATGTTGATGTGCTCTAACCCTGGGACACCCACCTCTGCTCCTCGCCCTCCAGCAACTTGCGATAGGTGGCGATCTCGATGTCCAGAGCCAGCTTGAGGTTCAGGAGCTCCTGGTGTTCGCGAATCTGCCAGACCAAATCCTGCTTGGCCTGCTTCAAGGCCTCCTCCAGCAGGTTGAGGTGCTCTCGGCCCTTGTTGAGGTTTTCATCACCATCTTTTCTAACCTCGTCAATTTCCTTCTTCAGGGCGTTTTCCTGACAGGGAACCAGAGGCGGAACATTAGAAGCTGGTAGGATAGTCTGTGTGGGTGCAGGAGCCTTGTGTTCATTGTGCTCGTTGTGTTCCTGCCTGTACCTTACCTTTCTCTTCAGAGCATCCAGATCTGCTTTCAGTCTCTGGATGTAGCGCAAAGTGTCAGAGATCTCCCTCTTTATGTCACGCAGTTCCTGTTCACGCTGTCCAGCGTTTAAGACCATGACGTCCATCTGAGCAGACAGATAAATCAAGTTACAATAGCGACCGTCACCGGGAAGACCGAACCTTTCAGAACTATTGCTCACCTTCTTCTGGTTCCACATCTCCGCTTCATTTCTGGTGCGGGTGGCCATGTTGGCATACTGAGCCTCAATGGACTTGACAACCTCTTCCATGTCCAGGGACCGCTTGTCATTTTCCCGTAGAATCACCGTCTCATTCTGGACCTGTGACTCCAGCTCCTTGATCTCCTGCAGATGGACGACACGAGGAGAAATGTAGCTTTTCAAAAATGTCTACATATGTGTAGCCTTCTATGTTTGCCATTACCTCATCATAGCCCGCCCTGAGGAAGTCCAGTTTTCCCATCTGGTCCTCCAGTTCTAGAGCCAGCTCCACAGCTGCCAGGTGTCCTTCATCTACTTCCTGTTGTCCAAAATAAACACAGATGTGACTTTCTAAGCGAGAACTTAATTTTTTGGTTTTTACTGTGTTTTTTCCTCATTAAAAACAAGCATCCGATACCTTTTTGGTGACAATAAAGTCATTCTCCAACTCAGTTTTCTTCTTCAGCTCGTCCTCATAACTGCACCCAATTACATAAAAAGGGTTTGGAGATCAATTTTTGACATCAGCATTGAGGTAAACTGAGATTGTAGGGGTTAAACGTTGAGTAAACATGGCTCTTTGTGACCTGCTCACCTCTCTTTAGTGTTCTCCACCACATTTTCGATCCTGTCCAGGTCATCCCTCAGTTTCTCTTGGTCTCGGAGTAAATTTTCGATCTGCTGCTCCAGCTCGTTGGCCAGCTGCCTCGCAATCTCATCTACTTTTGCGTCGTAGTCCTCCTGGTCCATGAGGATCTTGAGTTTTGTCTCAAGTTTCTTCTTCTCATTTTCCAGGTTTTTCACCTTAAAGAAAGACAAAGGTGAAACCCTGAATAGAAATCTGGGAGGGAAGTTTTCATAATTGTCTAAAATTTGTAATATTCAAAAATGTACATTCAAAAAGCAAAAGCTTATTCTGACTGAGTCCCAAAGGAAAGCTTCTCAGGCTGGTTTAAAAGTCCCCTAGTTGTTCCACAAGGTGGCATCCTACAAGTCAAACTTGCAGACAAAGTCCCTTTACACTTTTTTAAAGATCTCTATGAAAAATGTTTTAGTGTTAATAAATTGTTCCGTATGTTTTGTGTTCATGTAACCGTGGTCTTTATTCTGAAATGGCACAGTTAGACTGATAAATATTTAACATATGCAAAAACTTCCCAGATATGTTGGATTATTTCTAAATGATCAGAAATGGGTTTTATTTAAGAAATAACTGCAAATTAAACAAATGACTGAAATAATACTAATTGTTTTTAAAAACAAGTGATCATTTTAATTCGAATATTTTATCTTTAATTTGACTGTAACTGATTTAAGAATAAATTGTTTTTTGTTTAGTTTTCTCTAGCTGTTTTTTCTTCGAGGAGTTTGCATATCAAGCTCAATAAAAAATGGATTCACAAACCTTGTTAATCAACTGGACGAACTTGTCATTGAGCCCGACCATGTCCTCCTTCTCCTTAGATTTTCCCGAGGAGTCGATCCTGTTGGTCGGTTGGCTTTTTATTGGCCCCCCGCTGCCGGGGCTGTAGGTCTGGCTGCTGTAATCTTTTGCCTTAGACATCGTGCCGATTGCAAAGGCGAGCTGGGGTCTGACTGAACAGGTGAGAGGGAAAACACCCTCAGCCCTGCAACACCTGCTTTTAACCTGGACGGAACCACCCATCACCTCCTCAGAGCTGCTCCTGCGTCCAATCAGAGGGGTCCGAGTGCTGGAGGTCAACGTGAAATTCTTGAATTTCTCCTCAGAACCGGTTTGGCCAGGGCTAGGGCTTGGATTCAGGAGCCAATGGCACCATTGGGGCGGATTTGAGGGTAAAAAGCAGGTATAAAACTCACCTGTATCCTTTGCATCCATCAGGTGACTACTACTGCGCCACCATCCCTTCTTCCTAACCACTTCTCTCGCCAAGATGCCCTCATCCAGCAGCGCTAGTATGTTTGGAGGAGCCGGGGGAAGGGGCTCCCGGGTGTCCGTGGCCAGTTTGGAGGGGCTGCGTAACGTGCTCCGTAATGAGACGGACAGGGACTCCGCTCCGGGGCCGCAGGCTCCAGCCCCGCGCACCGCCTCCCCCGGCCCCCCGCCGCCCCCCCGCGCCCAGCCCGCGGACGACAAGCAGACCCTGCGCGGCCTCAACGACCGACTGTCCGGCTACCTGGACAGAGTGAAGCAGCTGCAGGACGAAAACACCGACCTGCAGAAAAAGATTGATGGCGTCCTGGCCAAGAGGAAAGCCCCCGAGGGTCGCGACTGGAATCAGATTCAGGAACCCCTGGATGAACTCAAGCAGCGGGTAAATGATCAATCTTTGGATATTCGAATGTATTTACCTATTTATTGCATTCAATTTTTTTTTTTTTTTTTTGTTCTTACTTGATAAAGCTAGAAAAAGAATATCAATATTATCCTTTTATCTCAGGTTAAAGACATCACCAGGGACAATGCAAGGCTGCTGCTCCAGATTGACAACAACAAAATGGCCAATCAGGATTTCAAGGACAAGTAAGTGTTCTGCAAGGGCCGAATGTTTCCGGTGAGTGTGTGGGTCACTGTTCCTGTCCCCGTTTGTAGGCTGGATTATGAGACCAAGGCGAGGAAGGATCTGGAAAAAGAGCTGGAGGATATGAAGAAGGTGAACGAGGATACCAAACTGAACCAAGAACAGATGCAGAAAGAGATCGATCTGGTGAAGAACGAGCTGGACCGCCTGGAGCAGGAGCACCGTAACGTGAGTCTGGAGACACTTTAACTCTCTAAAGGTCTGCAAATTAGAGGCAAGCGTGTAAATGTGGCTGTTGCAGGAGGTGGACATTCTTCGGGAAAAGATCAGGGACTCGGAAGTAAAGGTGGAGATTGAGTCTCCGAACTCCAACCTGGCTGCGATTGTCAACAAAATCCGCTTCCAGTACGACAGGCTGGCTGAGCAGAACCTCAGGGACACCGAGGATTGGTACAAGAGCAAGGTATGACAGCATCTGAATGCCGGGGGGGGGGTTTCTCCATTCAGCCCTTTGTTTGTCTCACTGCCTCCCTCTTTGTCTCCCACCCGAAGTTTGACAACATCAAGGTGGAGGAAGCCCAAAACCTGGAGGCCATGGAGTCTGGAAAGTCTGAACTCAAGGATCTGCTGAAGGAGAAGAAAACTGTGGAAATGCAGATCCAGACTCAGCTCGGCACGGTAACCGCAAACACACACACACACACACACACACGCACGCACGCTTCTTCAGACGTAAACAATCAATATTTATCATGCGTATCACAAAAGCCCTTCTTCTTGACATGTTCAAATTCTTCCTTTTGAGATGTCAGCACGATAACATGCCTGCAGGGCTGGTAATCTGCTCTTCCTCTAGAGGCATACCTGACTGGTTTGTCATACCCTAAACCACAAAAGCATCTCCTTTGTCTGACGTCCAAAGCCAAAACAAAGCCGACAGTCATTTTCTGTCTCCCTTTCAGATCCAGTCCCTGGAGGACTCTCTGAGGAACACCAAAGGAGAGTTCAGCCACCAGCTGGGCCCGCTCAACCGGAAGATAGTGGACCTGGAAGCGGAGCTGAGGGATGTGAGGGCACAGGTGGAGCAACACCTGGAGACCAACAAGAGCCTGCTGTGTGTTAAGATGAAGCTGGAGCAAGAAATCAACAGCTACCAGAAGCTGATCCACGGCATAACGGCTGATGCTGAGAGGTGAGGAGGCTCTGGGGCGCTTCAGGAACCTCCGGCCTCAACTCAAACCTGTTCTCCAGAGGCCTGTCAGTTTAAAAACTCCCCAGAAAAAGTAGGGGGCAGATTTGATATCCAAATTGTCTCGTCTTGCCTCATTTGGCTTTTAGTGTACGCTCTAAAGCGGTTTAAAGGGGTGGCATTAGAGCAACGCATCAAGCTCAGAAACAAGGTGGACTGGTTTACAACTCGGTGCATTTTTTTTATGCTCTTCTTTCCCGACAGCTTGGAGTTTACTATAGAGGATGCACTGGAGAGCGGTAAGTTCTGAAATTTGGCTTGAATAAGACACCGGATCAAATAACAACATCCTCATCACCTGATTAAATAGTTTTCCTCTCTCACTCTAAAGCAAACCTGACCGGTTGTTGATTTGAGAAGCTTTCGGTTTGTTCCGTTTGGCTTCTAGCCAAAGGAAAAAGAAAAGTCAAATATATTAAAAAACGATGCAGTCTTTTCTTCGGAAACAATAGGTTTGTAATTTTAAAGGTGTAAGCAGTATAACTGATGACATGGAGGGATTCAGTCAGCAGGCGCAGACTGAACGGTCCAAAGATTTCTTATAGATTTAGTCTCGGCCCACGGCATGCGTTTTGCCATTGACCCAAAAGTCACAAATGATCAAAGTAAGAGAAAACTCAGGACTGAATAAGCTCACGCATGCAAACTAAGCTATACAGGACATTTGAAATCACCAAAAATAAAGGACAAACTCAGAGCAAACAGATTCACACCTGAACAAATGAGACTCAAAAGAAACACAGACTTCCAGAATCATAAAGATATGTATGTGTGGCACGCATTTGGACATATCAAACAACCACAAACTAAAGATTTATGTGTTATAATTATGTGGTTATTTTCTGAGTCTGTGTCTGGGGGCCGTGTTTCATAACTTATCCATGTCTGATGATATAATGTACACCTTATAGTTTAACACGAACCTAAACTGCTTGAGCAAACCGTCACCGCGTAACAGCATGTAGTCACCACCTAACGTTAACACACAGCTTTGTGGATCACACTCACAGGGGAAAACTGATCTTTCATCGACTGCAGCCGAATCAAAGAGGGAATGCGAAAAGGGCGCCAAACTCTTTCAGATGCATAAAAGCAGTAAAAGGATCTGTATAATTATGTGTTTACAGAGCAACAACAGCCTGAGGAAAACCAGGAAGCAGCTGTGAGGACACAGAGCGCCCCCCTTAACAAGTCAGCTCCCTACAAAGCCCCCGCTGAGGAGAATGCCCCTGTCAGCAGCCCCACCGGGAAAAAAAAAAACAAGAAGTCCAAGGCTAAGGATTCATCTTCCTCCTCCTCCTCCTCCTCTTCTTCTTCTTCTTCTTCTTCCTCTTCCTCTTCTGAATCTGAGAAAGAAGAGCCTAATAATTAGTTTCCAGCAGCCAAAGCTTCGGCTTTAAGAGCAGAATTCCTGCTAAAGATGCTGCTGCTGCTGCTGTCAAATCTGTGAACTTATTTTGGTGAAAGTGTACTTTCTGTCAGTGGAATAAATGCGTTTGGTTTCAAAAGGAGTCTGAAGTCACTCTTGCTTGAATATCCAGAGAATGATTCAGTAAATGCATCACTAACATGGAAATCATGGAGAATTAAAAAGTAGCATTTCAGAAACTGACGTGCCTGTATTGACTACATATCAAAAGTCACGACTGGGTTAAAATGATAAAAAAAAACATAAAGTTGCTGATTTGTATGCAGTCATATGAATGCCCCTCAAAAGAAAAGTGGGCAGCGTATCTTTCCAGAATGAGTTTTCATTAAAAAAATACATTTTTAAAGAAAATATATCTAATATATATGCATCTTTCTTCTGGCTGTGAATAAAAAGGACCAACAACTCAGATGAAACAAAACAAAGAACCTTTTTCTTTTTAAAGAGTGATTTATTTTTCAAATGACGATGGTACAGATGACATGAAAGCACGGGGGGGGGGGGGGCTGAAATAATCCACTGCATGGATATTGCCTGGTGAGGGCTGGGGGGGCAAGCAAGAGTACCAAATGAAGAAAAATATCGTATCAAAAATTTCATTCATTTTGTTCATATATATATTTATATAGGACTAATAATTCTCTTCAACTATGCAAAGCAAGGAATGCCCTTTTTTCCATTTATCTTGAGCCTTGGCTTTCCCTATGTAGAGCCGACATTATCACTCAACCCAAAATAAGAAAGAGGAAAAAAAAAAAAATGAAGAAAAGGCTGGACACATTTTTGGGAGGCTGGGAGGGGCATTTAAAGGCGTCCTGGAGTCCTGTCCGATGTGGCGTTGAGTCTCATTGTGGCGCATTTGGGCGTGTCCACCGGGGGTTTGGAAATGGATGTCGGCCTCAGCGGGAGAAGGTCTTTCCCCTGGAAATCCCACAAAAGGGACACGTCGTTCAAGATTTACGATCATCCGAGTGACAATAATTGAGCTGCGAGCAGAAGGAGGCTGACAAGGCGTCACAGCGACTCAAATCTGAGGCGCATCGGATTTGTTTTAAAATTATGAGCGACATGCCGCCCCATTTTCCAAAATCTCTCCAGAAAATGTTAAAACGACGACAACAAAAACCGTTGAGGGTCACTTACTTGTGCTGACGTGTCTTAAGATGACAAACATTTCCTACTTTCTGTTCCCACATTTTACAATGGTCTCCGGAACGCAACATTTTTTTACTACAGCGTAACCAGGTGCTCCGTTTCCAGAGAAAAACACGTTAGTGTCCATTCTGGTAGAACAGGGACTTCGTGGTTTCGTTAATCAGCAAACACAATCAAACCGATTGTGACTAAGATGTGGGAGGAAAATTTGTTCTCCAGCTGGCTCACGTTTCATTTTCATTCAAAATTCCAGAGAAGTTGGTTTGTTTGCTAAAGCTTCCTCTGAAATTCTTCAAATCAGCTTGTCCACTCAACAAAGGCTCTTTGTGCATGCTTATCTACCTTTTTCAAGTGTGTGTGTGTTTTTGGGGGGGGGGTTATATTTAGATGTTTTACTGAAGACCAGCTTTGTAAAAAAAGGTTCATTCTGACTTGCTGCAAAGGCAGCGTAGGCAAACATGGCAACACACCTCCAAAGCACACTAATGCTTTATCTCCTTCTGCTTCCTGCATGAGTGCCTTCTGACTTGGCTGTGCGCCGATAAGGACCGCGGAGGGCGCAGAATACTCACGAAATGGTCTTCATCTCTTTCTTCTCGGCGTCGGGTCGCGCGCGGTTCAGCACCTTTAGGAAGTCCGACGTCTTGGCTCTCATACGTGTGTGAATGTACGCCTGTGTGAGAGAGATGGCACGCATGATGATCCGTGGCGGCTTCCAATGAGAGATCAAATCTGATCACAGGCCTGGGTGGGTTCAATGTAACAATGTGTTTGTTTTCTGTTTGGATAAAATGCAACGGGACGAGTTTGACATTGATGTGGAAAGCAAAAAACAAAAACAGAAGCATTGTTCCGTCTTAACAAGCCTTTCGCGTGATTGATGTCATATTTTGAAATCTTATCTTCTCAGAGGCATCCAGAAACCAACTTATGACATTCTAATGTCAAGATGAAAACCACAAAAAAAAACAAGGAGACCATTTGCCAACAACTGTTATCTGAAGTATGATCGGAGGTTTGAAATGAAACTCACGACATGCCACATTCATATCAGGAGCCAATTAAGTGCTCAAAGTCTTCCCCAAACCCTTCGATGTTCACTCAGGTTGGCACATTTCCTCAACTAGGGACGTTGTTTGAACTCGCTGGTGGGCGGTGTTTTCCAAAGAAACAGGTGAAAGAGAGACTGGAATGTACCATTACACGGAAAAAGATATAGGAGTCATCTCTGGTGTGTTATTAAAGCCAGTTTCCCCACAGCTGTGATCAACCTTTTGTTTTTAATAAAAGTGTAATAAAAAGTCTCGAAAAGAAAAAAAGAAACATTGTACATTAAAAATAACTTTGGTTAAACATGAATGGACATGAATGAAGGACTACCGAAAAACGAAACACTCCACGCTTACTTAACTAAGTTGTCGGAGCTCACCTTTGAGCACTTTATGTGGTAGTGCAGATAGTCCCTGAAGGTGTGGATGAGGTTGATGGTGTTGTCTCTGGCATTGGCATTGGTGTGACGAGGGAACAGCACTGAAACATGTCCAAAACGCAGCACACACATCAAATAACTAGATTATCTGTGTTATTATGGGGGGGGAGGGGGGTAAATAAAGAGTATACAAAACTGTATACAACCTGTGCGATACTAACCAAAGGTGATGTATCCAATGTTGTCCCCGACAGCGGCGTCTGTGTCCTTCAGCTCCAGAGGAGGCTCCCTGTGGCTGAAGAGCACCTGGGGGGCTGTGTGGCTGGCCCTCCGTCCCTCTTTGAACTCCTACATGCACAAATGCAGCCTGAATTAATGCAGAGCTAATGATAAATGAAGGCTTTGTTGCACTAGCTTCTCGTCGGTGTGGGAGACTAAATGTATACGATGTGTTCTGAATTCATGAAGCTAAACTTGTTTTTGACACAATAAACCTCAATATGTGAAAGAAGCTTTGTAAAAAAAAAAAAAAAAAATGCAATTAGTTAATTGAAGGATTACAGTCGACTCCCCTCATTACAATCAATAGCATATTGGCTAGGTGGCTGACTTGTGATTGTCGTCTAGCTAACGTTGCTTTCATTAGATGACTATTGACCTGCCCGTTAGCACCTTTTTAGTCATTTTGCATAAAGTCACATTTGGCATTAAACCTACAGCAGTTACAATCTCCCATTTTGGAGAAATGGCGAATGCATTTCTTTTAATCAATACCATGTAATTGTGACATTCTGGGCAACTTTATTTGTGATCAGCAAGCTCAGAGAAGAATAGGAATCCTAACTGTTCAAACATCCAAACACACTGTTCACAGGTCTCCGATATTTTGCATTCCGACGAGGACCATGAATGCCTGGGTGATGACACGTCTGCGAGCACGTCCGCCTTCACTCACCTGCATGAAGACTTTGCCGATGATGACATCATCATCATCCTTGAACACTGTGCTGAACACCACGGTCACCCGGTCTTTCTTGGCCTCTACGTACCTGTTTCAGCAGCAAAAACAGAGGTGTCTGGGTTCAGTGCATTCAGAGGAATAAGGATTAGCAAACAGTACCCAAAACGCTGTTTTTTTGTTATCAAGGAGGAAGAAAAAAAAAGGACCCATGCTATGTTTTAACTGGCAAAAGATTAGTATTTTTTAAGGTTGTTAAAGCTTCTTTAGTCTCTCTGAAGGTTCACTCACAGGTTTTCTAAGAAATATGTATTAGGGAAATAAATAGAACTTGAGCAATAGAAACCAATCGAGCGACATTGGAAACAAAAAACTTTGAAGCCCCGCTCACATTGACTCATCATCTCTGTAGTGGACAACTGCTCTCTGCTCGCCCTCTTTGCCCTCCTCCTGGAACTTGAAGTACTTCTCAAACACCGAGGCGAAGCAGTTCCTCTTGAGCATTCCTGCCTGGTGGACAACCTCCTCTTTATTGCCTGGTAGAACGTCCAGGTCATAGAGGAGGGACACGTTGTAGCCTGAGAGGAAGCCGGTCAGAGATGAAGGAAGTATTTTAGTGAACGCCACGTCACTGCCCAAAGACAGACGAAATATTCCATTTCGCAATTTTCTTCTGAAGGAAGTACACATCTTTCAGTCCGGGCGAACGGCATTACACAGCAGACTGAAAGCTCAGTGTTAGTACTTACTAAAAGGAGATTAAAAACACTGTGAGGACTTACCAGACTCTGGTGAAACCAGGAAATTCCCATAGACCCTCTTGAGCAACTGTAATTAAAAAGAAGATGAGGATATCACACTTCTCTGAGAGTAGCATTTCACAGAAATAAAACGACTCACAGGCTGAAAACAGAATTTCAAAAATCACCTATCTAATTTTAAAGCCAGGTCCCATTACTGGAAACGTGGTTTAACGGCGAGAGCTTAAATGAACCTGATGATTTTGCTACTTTATTTGAATACTTTGAGGGTCATTCTTTGATTTCACAGCACTCGGCGCCTCGCTGATTTCAATACTTGAAAGAGAATGATATGAGAGTGGGGCAGGTAAACAAACATGTGGTGTGAGAAGGTTTGTAATGTTGCAAGAAGGGACGGACGTTTGTGGAGGTAATTGAAGGGGGGCTTCGCCTGTAATTGTTACCTGTCATTTTGGAATGAGCCGAGGTGCTCTGGTCTAAAATGCAAATCAAACTCAGTTATGAAAATAATGGACCTTCTTTACAGGACAAATGTGAAGAATGTGTCGGCTTGTCAAAAAGACTGCCTCTGAGTCCTCTCAGCAAAGACTTCAGAGGGGCAGAATAACACTGAATGTGCCACAGTTCAGCTGATCACCCCCCCCCCCCCCCCCCCCCCCCCCTTCTTGAGCTTTATGGAAGGGGGAGAGAAATGGTTGGATGGCAGCCAGTCCATCAACACAGAGTGTCTGCTGCCTGCAGTCAGCACTTCCTCGCCCGGGGTGAGTCATACAAGCTCACTTCCTGTTTCTGCCAGAAGCCTCTGCAGCTGCTTTCTTCCTTACATGGCCACAGAGTGCTTGTACGGCAGAGTTTGTGTGCAGCGCGCAGTGATGAGCTTTTCCAGCCTAAATTATGAGGGATTGACATCTCACTGGAGTGCATATCAATGACTACGCTGTTCTTCCCTGGTAGCACTGTTTGTACACCTGGAGCTGTGTCTGTTTGCAGTTCCAAGGGATAAAGTAGGGGAATTCAATAGCACAAAATAAACCAAGCGTGGCCCGATATCAGGTGCGTGAACAGTTATTTTTGACACTTCAACAACAGCTTGTCACACACAGTTGAAGGGTTTCAAAACCAAGGACATACCAAACATGTTACTAAACTATTATGCGAGACGCCTTTTTCTTGGGTTCCGTCTCTTTGCATCTGAAAATGAATACGCCTGAGTGCAGGCTGTTTTACCTCGTCAGCTCCATGTTCCTGCAGCTCCTTGTAGAACTTCAGGGAGATGCTAACCATCACTTTGGTCTTGTCCCCATTGGGGTTGGAGATGTGGTACAAGACGCCATCAAAATCTGCAGGAGTGAGGAACATTAGTCATGTTCTCAGGCGGCAAATGAAGCTCCAAAGCCTGCCCCACTGCTGGCAAACACTGGGGATGCAAACCGATTGCAGCTCTTACCTGCGAAGGTCACATCGACGGCTTCCGGTTTGGTTCTGCAAAGAGAACACAGAATTGAAACAACCAACCAATTCCGGCACTGAGTGAAAACGCTAGGGACTAATTTTGTTCTGCTAAAACACTTCACAATGCTGGTGTCATAAAAGAATTCTAACATAGAGATTGAAAGTTTTGACAACTTAAAGTAAGGATTAAAATAGAACAGTGGCATCAAGACTTAAATCAGCAATAAAAAGTTTGATGAAATTGTAAAAACACTTAGTTTATTTAAAGTATAAATTCTAAACTGTCATCTTAACACTGAAACAAAGCAGGAGATTATTCACGGAGCTATACAAAATATTTTAATAAAAAACATATTACAATCAGTCAAAAGAATAAGTCTGAAAGGAGTAATCAACATCATCTGTTTGGAGTATTTGCTGCATGTTTGAAAATGTCATTGATTTGGAGAAAATGTATAATTTCCAAAGGTACCAAACAAAACAATAAACCTAATTGCAAAGATGAATGGACAAAATGAACAACCTTTTGACAAGAAAACAGAGGTTGAGCTTGAGCAACCTCTGTTTTCTTACAATCACTTTTTCATCGAAAGCTTTCATTGTCAATAGAGCTTGAAGAGAGTTTTTCTACTCCAATGTCAGAGTTATTGAAGGAATGAGCTGGACTAGGACAGCACAGCCAGCTGCTGCTGCTGCTGTTTGGGTCAGCTCCTGCAGACTAGACTCTGCCTGTCTACCGGAATGCGGAAGTTGGAGAGAGCTGTGCTTTTCTGGTTTATACTCGCTGTTTGGCTGTGCTGCACAATGAAAAGCACGTAAATAAGGCGTTTATAAGGGAAAATATTCCGTTTTCTGCGAAATGATCAAGGTTTTTTTGTGCCTTGTCGATGGCGAGGTGAGGGAGGGAGAATGTTGGCAAACTTGTTGTGTGGAAGTTGTGTGAAGAAATAGCTGCCGACGTTGGCTGGATGGCGCTCCATTAGCTAATGTACCATTCATAAGATTTTATCTATTATTTATTAGGAACTATTTTCGCAACTTTGAGGGGGAAAGGTTGCAAAAAAAAAAAAAAAAATCAACCTTTATATAACGTTGAAGAAGCACCAGGGGATATATTTAAGTGGGATTAGAATATTTGACATGACACGGCTAATGCAGACACACCCCAGCTTGGGGCAAAGCACACACAACGGAGCCACCAGCTAATTCAACGTTGGAAATAAAAACATTTTTTTCCTCCAACAATATAACCAAATGGTTCCGTGCATTGATTGTCTAAAAGACGCAACTCTGAACCCGGCATTCCTCTTCATAAAGATGCTAAAAGGGGAAGCTAGCTGGCTGACGTTAGCACTGCTAGCCAGGTGTAACAATGATTTCTCACCCGTTGGATGCGCCGTCGAACTTGAGCGCCAGCGTCTCTTCTATGATGCGGTTATTAATTTCTAACAGGATCATCGCAACGGACACCGGTGTCGAGGAAGAGGGGGAAAAGAGTGGTGCTATTTGGAAGGATTAACCTCTTTGTGTCAAATAATGCTAAATTTTCTTCCCTTGACAGACCAGACCGCTTCCGTCGAAGCTCCTTCCGCCCGCAGCTTCCGCGTACTCTGCACTTAGGACCCTGTTTGATTTAGGTGGCCAAATTATTGCCTGTAATAAATTGATAGTGAAGTGTTTTATGACGAGAATAGACAGAACAAATAGATAGATAGATAGATAGATAGATAGATAGATAGATAGATAGATA